AAAAATAGCTTCGTTGCCTGGTTTAAACAATGTTTCTTTCTGCACGTTTCCTTGCAACATTTCCTCCCTCTTAAAGCACTTACTGATACTTGTTGATCGACATTCGGCTAAATCCCCAATCCGACTCCTCATCCTCCTTGAAGTGCACAATATCGGCATTCACTTCGGAGAAGACAAACGGGGTGTCGTAGAGGTACCCAACTTCGCCTGCAGATACCAGTGTGTAAAACGTGATTTTTTTAAAGAAAGTATTGGATTAACCTTTTTTAACTGCTGCCACTGAAGCAGGGCCACACCTGAAGACCTTGTCGCTTGTCTCTTGGGGCGTGGCATCGATAATTTGCCAGCCGCCATACCCTTGAGGCAGATCGGGCCTGGACATCCACACATCGTTCCACACGTGGAAGTTCCAGCAGGAATCCCTGCAGTCAATCTCGTCGCTTTCCTCGATTTTGTTGCCGAATATATCGAAAAATCTGCAAGGCTACTGATAGTTTCTGCGGGTTTAGGTGTGATCGCTCTCGTACTTATCCACCGTCATTGAGGCGTTGGTGTCGTGTGCGGATACGTAATTGGTTGTGGCTCTGCATGGGATGCCCAACGCTCTGCAGACGGTAACGGTGGCGCCAGCAAACACCCAACACTGTCCATACTTGACGGACATTCCTCCTGATTGCAGAAACTGGTCCATTATCCCAGTGGAGCCAGTCCAGGCGAAGGGGGACGTGCCGTCCTCGTACTGTCCATCCCATCTGCCCTCCAAAAGACCACCATCATCCACTGAGTTGATCTGGAAAGTTGCCGCTGCAGAACGCATTTCACTCCCATTGATCGAACGGAGTTACCAGCGCAGAAATGGCTCGGGTGATCAGAACCGGGTTGCCTCGGTCGCTGTGGGCGAGTCCAGACTTCTCCATCAGGAGCATTGCGGCAGGCAGCACGATATCATCAAACTGCCCAAAAACCCAATGCTTTCCCGTGGGGTTTTTAAAAGTGCCACACCATATCTTCCCCGTTTCGCTCAGCACGTATTCCTGCCGCTCCTCCTCATTTTCCATATAGACTGCGTCCAGAGAGCTCCAGGGGTTGAACACCAAGTAGATGTCATCGGGGATCTTTTGCGTATGCAAAAGTCAGTAGTTTAACCAAATAGTCCCCAGTTACGGTTTTGAGAGATTTACCGCATAGTCGAACCGCTTATCCTTCTGCCCAGCTATGTTGGTTTGTAGGGAACACTTCCAGATGCCCACGGGGGCGTAGGCAGGAATCCACACCTGAACAGTGATGATCGTTTCGTTGATCTGACTTAGGCAAATCGACCAGCGGTTCTGGTCATTGGGCAGACGGCGGGTTTTCGGGTGGATGGGCAGAATAACCCTTGTTCCTCTCACAACGTTGGGTTTTGGACCTAAAATGTTTAAGTGTGTTTACCTCGTCCATGGTAAACCTGCCCAGATAGCATTTGATATTCTATGAATATCCCAGAATGTTCAAAAAATATACAGAACATTGCGGGTATATCCTGGGAATATACATGGTTGAACATTCCTAACATGAATGTTCGTGGAATATACATGCATGTATATTCATCAAAGTTCATAAAAAGTATATCCTAGGTATGTACATATATGTACATATTGGGTATATGTGCAGATGAACATGCCAGGTATGTACATATTGTGTATATACGTAACGTTTTAACGTAAAACAACCAGGATATGAAAACAACAGAAGACTCCAGTTGGGCTGAAACATACATTTTGAGTCAAAACCCAGGAAAACTTTTAACGCCTTTAGCCTCAAATGTCTCGACAAATCAAATGAAATCGCTGCACGAATTTTTGCTGGTTCCGATTTGTGCTGCCGCGCCGATTAAAAGCCGAACACATCAATTTTGAGGCTCAGGTTTACAAAACCGGCAAAAATCTGAATTTTGTGCTGTTTGAATGAAACTTACAGCATGTTTGGTGTCAAGTGTCTTCTATAAAATGCAAAAAAATTCAAACTGGTTCTTGTTTCACTTTAGAAGATACGAATTTTGTGAAGGCTTGAACGCAGTTTACTGTAAACATCAATTTTGAGAATCAGATTCATCAAGCTAGCAATATCAGGATTTGGTGCGCTTTTTGCGTCACTTTTTGCATTTTTAGAGTCGAGGGTTCTGAAACTGAGGCAAAAATGTCAAATTATTGCTTGTTTTAGTTTGGAAGATCCGGTTTGTTAAATGAGACTGCGTAGTTGTCCAAAACCAGCCATTCTGAGCCTCAGATTTATCAAGCTGGCAAAAATCAGGATTTCGTGCGTTTCTCATGAGATTTTCTGTAGCWTTCGGCACGAAGCATCTTTTAAARATTGAGAAAGTATCAAATTTTTCCTTGCTGCAGTTTGGAAGACCCGATTTTTTAAATGAGACCGCGCAATTTGCTGTAGACCCAAATTTTCAGTCTAAGATTTTCCAACTGGCAAAAATCAGGATTTTGTTCGATTTCAATCAAACTTACAGAATGTTTAGAGCCGAGTGTTTTCTAAAAATGATGAAAATTTAAAATTGGTTGTTTCTTCATTTTGGAAGAAACAAAATTTTTAAGGCGAGAACGCAGTTGACTAAATCAATTCTGAGACTCGCATTTATCAGGCTGGGAAAATTCAGGATTTTTTTGCGATTTTTACGAGTCTTTCCGCATCTTTAGAGTTAAATGTCCTTGCAAGAACGTGAAAATTTCAATTTTGACGCTCTGGTTTTCAAAACCGGAAAAAATTTGGATTTTGTGCCATTTGAATGTAACGTACAGCATGTTTGGGGTCAAGTGTCTTCTAGAAGTGCAAAAAAAATCAAATTGGTTCTTGCTTCACTTTCTAAGATACAAATTTTTTGAAGGTGAAAACTTAAGCGTGCAAAAACAATCACAAACTTTTATTGCAAACTTATGACTGAAGAAACCACAAGAATGAGCTGAAGTTGACTCAACATTGACACGTTTTCCTCGAATAGAACGCACTCAGCCCTAAAAATTATTTTAAAAGTCTAACTAGTTGCTGAGAAATTAACTGTGAAGCTCCGACCTGCGACAACCAGCACGAAATCCAAAGGAAATTCAAAAACATTTCTGTCGTAAAATTTTTTTAAAAATTTAGAAATATCCTGACGATGAATCAAAATCGAAACACATTTAGAATCGACTGTCTTCTCAAGGTTGGGAAAATTTCCAGACGCCCCTTGCTTTAGTTTGAAAGATAAAAAAATGTCTAGTTGAGAGCGCAGTTGTCCAAAAACCATCATTTTGAGCCTCAGATTTGTCAAGCTGGAAAAAATCAGGATTTTATGCGTTTCTGCTCAGACTTTCTGCGTCAATAGTACCGAGTATCTTCTAAAGATTGTGAAAGTTTCAAATTCTCCCTTGCTTTCTTTTGGATGATGCGATGTTTTAAAAGAGGGAGTGCAGTTGACTTGAAACCTCAATTCTAAGACTCGCATTTATCAAGCGGGAAAAAATCAGGATCTTGTGCGATTTTTAGGAAACTCCGCGTCTTTAGAGTTAAGGGTCGTTGCAAGAAGGTGAAAATTTCAAATTATTCGTTGCATCAATTTGGAACACACACATTTTTAAAACTGAGAGCGCAGGGGACCGAAAACATCAATTTTGAGACTCAGGTTTACAAAACCGGAAAAAATCTGGATTTTGTGCTATTTGAATGAAACTTACAGCATGTTTGGTGTCAAGTGTCTTCTATAAAATGCAAAAAAATCAAACTGGTTCTTGCTTCACTTTAGAAGATACGAATTTTCTGAAGGCGAGAACGCAGTTTACTGTAATATCTAGAATTTCTCCCAAACAGATGATTTATGCCCATAAAAGGGCGCCGCCTCAGTTCAGCCCAATATTACATAAAACGATTGACTACTGATCAATTGGAAGAGGTGGAGCAAAAATAGGCCACCTCGATCACCTGACCTAAACAACCGGAACTTTCAACTAGTGAGTAGAAGCAAAGGGAGGAGTCTCTTTTAACCCAATTAAATCGGTTCCTGAACGTTTCCTAGTCAGTATTTATCCTGTCACGACTGTTAAAAGCTGAATTAAGGACCATTTCGATAAAACGCTCCAAAAACTACATTTTCCTTAATAGGAAATTTTTCCGTAATCTTGATATCTAACTTTTAAAATAGTAGAAGCAGAATGAAGCAAAAGTCTGTAATTTCGCCACTTTTAGGGGCTTAGAAGGTGATTTCTGAGCCATCAGCCCAGCTTTTTCAATGGGACTTTTACCACACCATGAAGGAGGCTTCAGATTGCATGCGGTGTAAATGTGGCTCCATTCTTCTCCAAAATTAACTTGGAAAAGTGGGTACTTTTTCAGCAGTTTTTTTGCACCCTGGCTTTCAGAAGAGCATTTTTGAACAATCAGCGCTAACTTCTCAATCGGCTTTGCGGCATACGATGCAGAAGGCTTTAGATTGCATGCGATGTAAATAATGTTCATTTTCATTCATAACTCTTTAACGGTTGGCGATACCAAAATATTTATAAGGAGCTTTTCGATAGAACGTTTCAAGAGCTATCTTTTCCTTATAAGGCGTAGTTCTTCATATCTAACCTTTAAAAATGTGGAAGCAGAATGAACCGAATGTGTGTTTTTCATTCATAACTCTTCAACGCTTGCAGATGCCAAAATATTTATAAGGAGCGTTTTGAGTGTTTCACGAACTACCTTTTGCTCATTAAGCGTAATCCATAATTTTGAAAATATAAAAGCAAATGTTGAACGCTTTCGTTCCTAACTGGTTAACGGTTGAAGATGTCTGGTATCTAGTCATAAAGACCATTCCGATAGAGCGTTTCACGAGCTCTCTTTTCCCTATTAGGTCTCGCCCAAAATTCCTAGCCTCTAAAAAGTTACAAGCAAAATTCAATCAGGTCTAGAAAATTATTAAAAATACCTGACGAGACAAAGGGAGGACTCTAAAATCATCCCTAATAGAAACTTACCGATGGCAAATCGGACTCGGACAACATCCTGGATCGGAACGTAGTCCCGGTTGAAGCGAATGGCAAAATTGAAGGTGCATCCTCTGCGTAAAATGGGGAATGGAGTATCCCCATCCAGGATATCGTACATATCCGTGCGGTTCTGTTTCGCATTCTCCTTGCAGTAGAGCTCGGTGGCCACAGGCACGATTGGTTCCATTGTATTCAAATTCGAGCAAACACCCTAAGGATCGTTGGTATTCTGAGCGGCTAATAAGTGATATGCTTAGTATTCTGAACCAGACACTGATAAATGAAGCGCAAAAGTTGGCTGCAACAGTCGCATCATTAAACCGCTGTTTTATAAATCCGCCCAAACTCGTACGACAACAATTTAAATTGCTGCTCAACTTCTAAAATAGAATAGTGGGAAACGATTTTTCTAATCAGCGAACGATTTTATGAGCGCCTGTGCCTGCAATAGCGAACATGTTTTTGAATTATTAGTGCAAAATCAGCCTGCCATTAAGAAAGTTGAAATTTTTACTGCTTTTTTGAGCAGACTTCAGACTTTTCTTGCAACATCTCAATCACAGCACTACTGCCAATAAAGCTAATGAGTAAAATCCCCAAAAAAAATCACTGAAGTGTTAAAAAAGCTGCATTGGTTCACTGCCAGAGAGATTCAATCTCTCAAATACCCATCCAAAGTTAAATAGCGTTCAAATTAGAAACAAATTTAATTTGTAGTACGAGTTAGTTGATTACCTTATTGACCTCCAAGCGCCGTCCAAACACAACCGCGACGGACCAGATAATAAATTCAGCAATTTCTTGCTCGTCGTCTTTATAACGAATTCAAAAAGCCGGATTTTACGCAGCAGCTAGTATGGTTGTATGAGCAAATCCAAGAAGTGCGACTTTCATCATTGTACAATACCGAAAAAAATCGGCATGAGTAAACCCATCAATGCCGTATGCGTTTATGGGAATTAAATTTGTCATTGCAATCATCACCGAATTGAAATTTCGTTGAGTAATTGATTTTCGTGAAAGGCAAAGAAATTGGCTGGCAAGAGAACCATTCGGTTTCTTTGGGTTTTTTCAAAGAATCAAACCCTTCAGCCATGGGAATGCTTTCAACACTTCCATCGGGTGGATAGGAGAGAAGGAAATTTGCCTCAAAAACACCCAGAAGATCAGGTGAGCGACTAAAAAAGGTCGTCGCTGGTATCTCAGAATCGGTTCTAAAAGCATTACTATTGGATGATGGTTGGTGAGTTGAGGGGTTGGCAAAAAATGTTGATCAAAATTTGTTTTTAACTTTTCAGAGGTTAGGAACTTTTGGGAAATATCATCACAAAAAACAGTTCTATCGAAAACATCCTCACGACGAACGAGTTTTGCGCGCAAAAAGCGGCGGTTTTCCAGATTTTCATAAAATTTCGTCAAAAATTTAATCAATTTTGCTTCTAACTTTTAAGAGGTTAGGAATTTCGGGTGAGAAGGAACAAGTAAAAGAGAGCTCTTGAAACGCTCTATCGAAATGGCCTGTATGACTAATCTGGTATCTTCAACGGTTAACGAGTTATGTATGAAAATATTCGTAGGTTTGCTTCATTTTGCTTCTATCCTTTCAGAGGTTAAAAATTTTGGATTACTTGAAGTAAGCAAAAGCTAGTTTTAAGAACGTTCTATTGATGGTCCGTTTTTTCGGGAAAATTCGGGCACAACCTTTTGACAAGAATTTTTTATCCACCGGACTCTGAGTCGCTCGCAAACGGAGCGTTTCATATTTTTCAAAAATTCCTTTGGCAAAATGGAATTAGCTGGCGAGTTGATGTTTACGCCATTTATACGGGAAATTGTTGTCACTGTATAACCGATTCAAAGCGCCTTCTCAAAGTGACCTTTAACCATGTAATACACTTACTTACTATCTACTAATAAAAACGGGTTTTTCTTTAATTATTTATAGAATCAAAATTTATTCCTGGGTTTCAGTCATTTATTGTCTCTATTTATCAATCAAAATACGTTTCGGTGTATTTTTCCACCATCATCAGTTTTTATGTGTAGCGTTGTTGCTGCTTTAAGCCTTGGCATGCATTTCCAAGTGCAAAACACAGTCAGGAAAGTATATACAATTATTTTGTAGAAGCGTATTAATTGGACACCCTGTATATACTTAGGGCAAAGAGTAGTTGACAGCTACAACGAAAAAACATCAGGCGTCTTTGAGTGGCTCACCCTGTATATGTAGCGAACTCAACCGATCTTTGCTGTTTGATTTGCAGCCTCCATACGAAGAAATTCTCCTAAAAGCTTTTGAATTTTTCCTGATTTCATGGCTGCCTTTTTCTGCGCCGAGTGTGTCGTGCCTGACTTGATTAATTAAACACAGTTAGTCATTTTTTAAGGCGTGTTTTATATGCGAAGCGATCGGATTAATTTATTCAATCAATAATTCATGATTGATTGCAGAAAAACAACTGAACAACGATAGGGAATTTTTGCGACATTCGTTTGCTAGTCGTCAACATTTTTTATTTAGCAGTTTATCTTGGGAACAATTATTTTCAATCGAAAATTAACTGGCTGAGTGCGGTCCTGTACATTGTTGATGTTTACTCTAACCTCTAATAATAAACTGTGATTGGGGCTGTTTTATTGTCATCAGCTCTACTAATAAAGCACTAGAGCCTTAAATACAGCTGAATAAATACGCAGACCTTCAATAAAATAGCTATAAAGGCCCGATTGTCCTTAAAAAAGACCTCCTTGACAGCCGCAGGAAAATTGTCTACCCAGCTAGCAGTTTTACTCAGTTCTGTCAATTTTCCCGAGGAAAATCGCCATGTTGACAACGTTCGGTGCTTTCCACAAAAAGTCTTGTTTCTCGTGGAATAAATGGGCATGAAATTTCGGCGGTTTTCAGTCTGGCAAGGTGAGTTTTAGATGGATTTTCCATTAGCCCCTAAACGGTGTGGTTGGTGGTTTGCACTCCATTATCGAAAAATCTGAAACAATCTGCACTTTTGCTGCATCGAGGTTATTCACCTTTTGAACTAGTCGACTATTTATTCAAAGGCCGGGCCAATTATTTGTAATCCTTAGCATAGATAGAACCATAAGTCTGATGATGTTTCGAGCTGATTTAGTGATTGTGTGAAAACAGCGTTTTCAGAATGACCTCCGAAGTGATGGAAAATGACAACAAAACCCTGGACTCAGGTAGTATTTAGTAAAGCTCCAGAGCAATTGATTAATGATGTGGTTTCCAGCCTTAACCGATCTGTTTGTGAACTTGCAAAAATCCTCAGCCCTTCTGAGCACTGAGGAAGAGCAGACCTTCCTTAATGGGCTGTTGCAATCGAAAGAACTGAACGCCCTGGTGAACATCCACAGCAAAATCCTCAGCAATGTCGAGCGCAAAAGGTGCCTTTTCACGTGTGTTACTGAACGAGTCAAAAAATCTAGTTGTTTCATATGGCAGGTTCTTTCCTGTTCCGGCTTTGTCTGATGGGATGCAAGTGCTTGCTGATGTCCTCGAGTTGATCTATCAGCAGCCACGTAGAAGCAGCGACTGTCAAGAGTTGTTCCTGATGCTTCAGAAGCCGCATCTCCAGGTGGGGATGCTCAGACACCACTGAGACAGTTGCCTAATGTTTTTCCCATAGGGATTGCTGTGTGCGCACGATGCAATCGCTCAGAAGGACTATTATCCGCGTTTGCCCGATATTCCTGTGGAGGATGACGAAGAGGAGCAAACCATCAAAGTCGTGCAGTTAGTGAAGAGCAATGAACCATTGGTAAGGGTCGTGGACACTTCCTGATGTCGCTTAAATTTGACTTTGTAACTTCAAGATTACCTTGATCTCTTGCTGCTTAAGCCCCGTTTTTTATCTTTGACAAAAAATGGTCATTTATGGCAAATTTTTGTTTTTTACCAAGACTGGTACGCAAAGCGCTGAACCGATCGTCGTAAGTATTTCACATCGAAACGTGAGCCAACTACTTAGGTTCTTTCTGGCATACTTTTGTTTCATAGCTTTAGTTAATTAACGTATTGGTTTCTAGCCCCGTTCAGAAGGGCATTTCACTTTAGTAGTTCGATCCAACGAAGTAGAACTAGCTTGGTTCCCAAAGCAGGTCAACTATCTTCTGCATTCACGCCAAATACAATCAGAGTTTATCTACATTCCTGCTTGTACTGATACCTTGTAGTTCATTTTGAAGATTGTACATAAACCAGTTTAATCCTTGCACTTGAAATGGAAGCGCCAACACATTTTATTAAGCCGAAAGTTCTCTTCTGATGTAAGCAAGTACAGATTCAACACAAATTTCAGATTCATCCGCTGAGTTTAGCCTGAAAATAACACTTTCGAAACAGATTTTTAGCTCGACATTCTGAAAATTCTGCAGCAACGACATAAATTCTCCTGAAATGTTGTCTAGGATATCAAAACTTTCGGCTTTATACCAAGATAGGATTAGCTTAAATATTATATCCTGAACCAAGTGTAACTTTTGACCACTGGCTTCCTGCTTCTATGAGCTCAACCAATGTGTTTTATCTAAACTACAGGAAACATCTACTGGCTCAAATAATCAGGTCTAATTTGTAAAAAAAAAATTGTGCAAACTGTCCCATTTCGATCCGCGATAAGGATTTTGGCGCTTCCTGTTGGCTTCTTTCACGTTTTCTTTGCACCCATGCTCATTTCTCCATTAAACTTTTGCAAATTGTATATTTACCCCTCTAGAGCCTTTGACTTTATACAGTTAGTTGTCTCGATTTGTAGTTTGTTTCTGCCCACTTAGGTCTTGGCTTTTTTACAACAATTTCCTCCACTGTCTGTATTTTAAACGCTGTTTTTGCTTCTGCAGGGCGCCACGATCAAAACTGATGAACTAACAGGGAAAATCGTGATCGCCAGAGTGATGCATGGAGGCGCCGCAGATCGATCAGGATTGATTCATGTAGGAGATGAAGTGGTCGAGGTGAATGCCATTAGTGTGGAAGGCAAAGAACCCAACGACGTTCTGGACATTTTGGTGAGTGAGTTTTTTGAGCAAACTTAACGACAACAGGAGGGTTCTGCCAATTCTAGCAAAGTTCCGAAGGAACCATTACCTTCAAGTTGGTGCCTGCTGAGTGTACCATGAACGTGAGGGAAAGCAAAGTGAGAGTAAGGGCGCATTTTGACTACGACAGTTCCACAGACCCTTACATACCGTGCAAGGAAGCCGGCCTGGACTTTAAAAAAGGCGATGTGCTTCACATCGTCTGCCAGGACGATCAATATTGGTAATTCGCATAAAAAGCGCACTTAAAGCATGGTATTTAATACGTTTTCTAGGTGGCAAGCTCGGAAAGAGGGCGATAAGCATATGCGGGCCGGGCTTATTCCGAGCAGGGCCTTACAAGAGAAGCGAATCGTGCATGATAGAGGAATGAAAAAGGACGAGGATGAAGGTGAGGCTTCAAGAACGTATTACTGTTCTTTGCTTGCAACTGCAGATTTAAATAGCATGAAGGCAACAGTAGATAACCGGTTATTATGAAGAAAGCGTTCGGGCCAAGGATCATGTTTTTAAAACGTTTATTAATGAATTAAATAGTCGAAACGTAAAGGGCGAGAAATTTAGAACCAATTGAGTGCAAACATCCCCCTATCTTTAGCGCCGAGTACAAAAAAATCAAGCATTTGTGGACTGTTGTTGGCATACGGAGAAAGTCCCATTTTTGCCCGGAGAATGTGCACTAAAATTCCTTATTCCAGGCGCAAATTTTCTATACATTCTAGTTCTCCATGCCAAATTCATTAAAAATCATCCAAACTGGCTGCTGTGGGTACAGATTCAGAAATCGCATGCTTAATTATGCGTCTGGAGACGGTGAGGCGATTACGCTTTCTAATGATTTAACAAAGGAAGCTCTTTAAAAACCGACGACGGGCAAAAAATCGGCTGGAACTGAAAAAAGCGGGCAACCTTGTAAAACAGATATACATTAGGATCTAGACGCATTATTATTGCAAAAAAATTGTTATTTCGATCATTTGAACGATCGTTTGCAGAGGATTAGTTAATTATTCCGTTAAAAAACCTGGTCTGAAGCTGTAAGCCGCACCCGGACGTCCTTGCCTGGAGATTTGATTCGTTTTGTCGAGTCTAGAACTTAGCAAATCAACATATTTTGGCACAAATAATCGAAAATTTCATTTAACCCACGCTTTACTGAGCTTGCGCTTGAAATGGGGACACTTTGCATCAACCAAGTGTACACTAAAGGACACCAACTTACCATTGTATCATTCTTTCGCCAGTTTCAAAAGCTTGGATCATGAATACTAATGCTAAAAACTAACAAGTCAATAAAAACAGAAAATCTGCATGCAAAGAACTAACATTAACCGAATCCGCCGAATGCGTAGGACTATGTTTCGTTCCAGTAGTGGCTGAAGAGGGCTTAAGCTGTAGTCCTGAACCTGTTCGGTGTCTGTTAGGGGCCGACAACAAAAATAAAACTAAAAAAATAATTTACGATACAGCGGAGAATGACGACTTTGATCGCGAATTGATCGCCACTTATGAAGAAGTCGCGAAACTGTACCCCAGACCGAGTGTCTTTAGGCCTATTGTATTGATTGGACCCCCTGGAGTTGGACGAAATGAGCTGAAACGTCGTCTAATCGACACTGATCCCGTAAAGTTCCAAACGCCCACGCCCTGTAAGAGTTTTTGGATTGCTTCGTCTCATCGTATAGTTTATTAATTATTTACTTACAGTTACCAGCAGGAGTATGAAACCTGGTGAAGTTGACGGCAAAGAGTATTTCTTTGTTACGCGGCAGCAAATGGAGCGCGATATTGACGAAGGGAAATTTATCGAATTTGGAGAATACAAGGGCAATTTGTATGGTAGGAGGGTTAATTATATCTTCAGAGTTCATCGCAAATGCGGGTTTTAAAATATTTTCAGGAACCAGCACTTCGAGCGTCGAGGCAATAGTCCACGCAGGCCTGGTGTGCATTCTGAACCCGCATTACCAAGCGCTGAAGATGCTCAGAACTCCACTTCTGAAGCCTTACATTATATACATAAGCCCGCCTAGTTTGGACGTTCTGAAGCAGACCAGAATGGCCCATCACGCGCGCAGTACCTTCGATGTTAATAACTCCAGAGGATTTACGGTGACTATCACATTTATCACTCAAAAACAGCAGGATTAGGCAAGTGTTTTTTGCAGGAGGATGAGTTTCAGGACATGATTCGACACTCCGAACGAATAAAGTTCCTGTACGATCACTTCTTCGATGAAACTATCGTAAACGCCGATCTGGCGGATGCTTTTAGCAAATTGCTAGCCGCAGTTAATCGAGTGGAAAGCGAACCTTTGTGGGTTCCCGCATCGTGGGTGCAGTAAAAGCGAGAAAACTGGCATTTATGTAGAAAAAGTCCCATAGTTTTGTGATTGAATTCCTTCTAGGTCTTAGCGAGCATCATTAATTAAAGCAAAAGGCATGATTCTCAGTGTAAATACGGTTTAGCTGTTGGAAATCTTCGAAGCTTAACCAAATTTTGATGAAGGCGTTAACAAAGTTTCTAGTCATCCAGTTTATCGGAAAGTAAATCACTGCCATTTATAAGTAGAGCATGTTTTGCTGGTTTTGTTACATTTTCGGCAATTGTAACACTTCAATTAGCTTTGATTCACTTAGATTAGGGAAAACGTACGATAATAACAACATTTTTTCCGCTCAGAAAGTTACTTTTGTTCATTTGAACTTGCTATAGAAGCCTTGTAGGAACGTATATTTATCGCTATTTTAGATATTTTTTTCATTAGTGTTTTATGGAACAAATCACGCCAGTTCACGTGTGTGTACACTTTGCTGGTTATGCCTGTTACATTGTTGTAATGAATTTTTGTATACCTACTACCTTTGTTAATACATAAATAAAATTGTTTAATTTTATTTTTTTTGTGTTTTATTTTGTTCAATATCCAATTGGGGGGTGCATCCAAGCAGGGTGAGCTAGAGTTTTAAATCAACGATCAATATTTTCCTAGAAAAACTATGAAAAAGTGGCTAAACAGAAAAAACCTAAACAATTCGTAAAATGCCGCTCGGATTTGACCCGCGGGGTTGAAAAAAAGGGCGGTATTAAAATCCAGGTCATTAATTGATACGCAAATGAGTGATTTGGGTAAAACAACGCATTCTCCGGCATCATCCTATGGGCGCACAGAGCGGCGGTTGCCAAGAGTTTCCAGCGGCTCTGCGGCAGAATTTCCAACAGTAGTTGTGCATTTTCCGAGCCATTCGCACGCCTTTACAATTTTCCAGCACTCGCGCTCTCTTCTTTCGCTTCGTTTTCTCGCAATCCTCCTCTAAGCTTCGCATTATTCCAACAAAAATCGCTTTTCCCCGACTCTATGCATGCTCTAACACCCAGGTGAACGTTCTAGTGAGCGCCTATTCGTGAAACCGTTTGGTAAGCATTGGGGCCTAAATGGCAACTCAAGGTGAAAGTCAGTCCTTTTACCCATTTTATATGCTTATTATGTATGTTAGTCGGCGCGCTACTAATTAGGAATGTATGGAAATTAGGCCCTTTTTAGGGAAACGGCTTTGATTGCGAATTAGGCTCTTTCAAGGGAGACTCGTCAGGTCTTCGTCATCAAAATGATGTTGCTGATGTTAAAAACTCTCGGAGTTCTAACCTAATTTCGTTCTTTTAAACAGTCTTAGCTTCTAAGCAGATTAAAATGCTCCAAAAGTCCAATCTAGTAACATCCAGATATAAATTTTTGAAAAATTATAAACTCCGACGGTTTAGAACATAAAAAAATATAAAAAATGGCGCCATATGTCACTCCAAATGGGACACCCTGTACATTAAAACCCCACTAGATGGTTGTCTTCAGTTGCGATTTGAAACACTTTTCTTCTAAGCTTTCAATATGATTTTAAAGTGAAAAGTAGTAAAACCAGCAGGCGATGCGAACATTAATAGGATTTCGAGCATAAATAATCGGCAAATCATGTTGGTTTTCACATGGGCAGATCCACAAGTGAATCATGTTCAGGTGGCTGGTTTTGCCTACACTGAACCCGAATAGGGACAATGCACCAAACACAATGCTCTTATTTCCATCGAATTGACTGAACTTGGCTACTTTTTCATTTTGGGTTTGCCAACTACGCTTCGAATGTTTTAAAGGGGAATTTTAATTTTCAGACTATGCAGGAAAAGAGCCTTAAGTAGCTCGTTTTGGCCTTTACAGTGGCTTTTTCCAACTAAAGTTGCCTGGATGTAAAAGCTCCGCTTGCTTGCCTCTTTAACAGTTAATATTCTTCGGAAATAACAGTATATAAGGCATTTTTTCAATATTAATATGTGTATAGACGATTACTCAGCAAACCTCTTTGTGGTAGATTTTACAAAGAAAATCGCTGGGTTTCACCCAATTGGCCCTTCTTCACAAAAAAGTCCAAAAGAAACTGTCTGGATGAATAATGTTGTTTTTAAACCAAATTGTTTTTTTCATACTCTCCAGGGCTGAAGGCCAGCGAGTTTTAGCAGCTTGGATAATTTACCTTAACTCAATGGATATGAAAGTGAGACTTTTTGTTAATTATTTTATATTTAAGTCGGGGACTTGTGTAAATAGGGGGCGTTGCTGGTTTTGGTCTACTTGCTGCTTACCAAAAGCGACTGGATGCATTGGCTGCTTTTACTGTCTTTCATCCTTAACAGCAATATTTTTTATATAACAGCAAAAAAAAAACAAAACCTACACTGTTGAAATAACGAAAACAATCAAATGGATATTGACGATAAATTGCTGAAAAATTCTGTTTAGGACATCGGGCGGACGAATCATTGAGATAATAAATACTGCAGAATTAAACCATCAATAACCGTTTATGAATACATTCGCTTTGCCGTTTCGTGCGTAAGTAATAATAATTCAATAAATCCCGCTGCCTGTTTAGTTCCAGTTGGGCAGCTTTGGGAAGAATTATGTTCAGGTGGCCAATCGCATTTGGATTCTGCAAGCTTGCAAACACTAATATTCTGTACTAAAATTGGTTTTTAATTGTTGGCTTTTTTGCGGATTCATTTAAGATTTTTAGGCCAACGGCGTTAAGCTGGCGATTTCTGCATCCATTATTATCGTTATCTGTGGCGTCTCTGACGTCACATATATTATATTCATGCTCGGCTGTTCGCAAAGACATGACAAGTTGGGCGTCGTAGACTGACAGCAAAACGTCAGAAAATTCCCGATTTGAAAATCGCGTTTTTTTGCAAAATCTCTCACTTTGGATCGCAAAAACACGATAAGAAGGTAACTGAGCGCTTCCGATTTCCGAAAATCATCAACCTCCCGCACAAAAATGGCACAATCCTGCCAAAATTCGAAAGTTTTCCAAGCGAATTTGCCGATAGTTTTCCCTCATCGCCACTAGACATTTGACTAACTTGACAAACTGACAGTTGAATTGACTTTTCCTCATGTTGATGTTCGCCTCAAACTACCTCATTTTTGGAGTCTGAAGCTCCAGCTTGAATTGGGGCAGGAGAACGAGGAAAATTGATCGTGAAGTCTCATTAAGATAAAATTATCCTTTCTATTAATTTTCGAGCGCAACATCTTTTATGCATCCGAAGTCATTGTCGCTCGAAACGCTTAAGCTGAGGCTTAAAATCGATTTCTAATTTCCCTAAGTGCTCGAAAGACCAGCTCAGTTATGCACGAATGCATTTCACCAGTGTATATGGTAAACTGCTTGAGCGAGACAAGCGAACAATCGTTCAGGAAACGTTTCTCTAGTTGCAAATATTCAAGTACACTTTTCAAAATCATGGTCTTTTGTGCAGATTTGCTAAATTTATGTAGATCTCAACCTGAGAATGAGGCGTTTTTACGATGTAAAAGCATATTCCAAGCATAAAATGCCAATTATATCTACATTTCGCTATGCCTACATCTAACTTTTTAAATGTTAAAAGTTCGCGGTTTGCTAAAATTCGACAATTTCGCTTCTATCTTTAAGAGACTGGCAATTTTGTTCCAACTCCAATAGCTTAAATGTAGCTCTTAAAAAGCTCTATAAAATGGGTTATTATGATTTATCAGATATTTTCTACGGTTTTCCGGATATGGGCTGTTTAAAACATAGGCTTTCTGATTTTCGCTTCCTTCTATATCTCTAGATATCTAACTTCCAAGTTAGAGCAAGTAGCAACTTCAAACCTTTATATTACATAGAAGATACGTGTACCTTAAATTCCTGACAATTTCATAGAAATCGCAGTAAATCCTGAGTTTTGTCGAGCTCGTAAATGTTGGGCTCGAAATGAACGATTTCGCACAACTGCACCATCGGCTTTAAAAATTCGTAACTTCGAAACAAGAACAAGTGGCGAGATGCAAGTTCCAATAACTGTTGACGGCACAAGAGGCTAAAACTCCTAAGAAGTTGGTTGAAATCGCGCAAAATCCTAATTTTTGTCAACTTGGAAAATTTTGAGCTTAAAATGACCGATTTCATACCACTACACCAACTGCTTTAGAACGACGAATCTTCTAAACCAGGCCAGGCAGCCACTTGAAACTTTCTTGAATTGTAGAAAAACTGTAGACCTGAAAGTCGGAGAAAGTTCAATTAAATCTTACCAAATCGTGATTGTTTTCCGACTTGTTATTGTTGGGCTTAAAATGAGCGCGTTTACCCAACTGCACCATCTACTTTAAAAATTCATAACTTCCAAGCCAGCGCAAGCACCAACTTGAAACTTTTGCAGCCTATCGACCTCACTTCAGCCTACAGGCCTTGAAAAGGCCAAAAAATCTCACCGAATGCTGACTTTTAACGACTTGGTAAATTATGAGCTGAAAAAGAACGTTTTCATTAAGCTGCACAAACCGATTTAGAAATTCCCTAGTTTTAACGTAGAAGAGATTGCAAGTTGAAACTGCCACAGTCTGTATAAAACATTTGAAACTGAAACTTTTCTAAAGTTTATTGAAATCGCTTGGCATCCTGATTTTGGTCTCCTTGCTAATTGTTGGGCTCAAAATGAACGTTTTCGTACAGTTCTATCATCTGTTTAAAAATGTGTAACTTCCAATCTAGATCAAGTAGCAAGTTCAAACTTTGGCAGATTATAGAAAACAGTTGAGCATAAAGCTTTGGAAAATTTCAGAAAAATTGCCCCAAATTCTGACTTTTGTCGATTAGGTAAATGTTGGGCTGGAAATACGCGTTTTCAAACAACTGAACCGTCGGCTTTAAAAATTCCTAACTTCCAACCAGGACGAAGTAGCAACTTCACACTTTCACATTCAGTAGAAGACACTTGGACCTTAAAGACCTGATAATGGTATAGAAATCGGGCTAAATCTTGATTTTTGCGGAGATGGGAAATGTGCGTTTTCAAACAACTGCACCATTAGCTTTGAAAGTTCCTAACAACTCAATGCAGAAGAAATGGCCACTTCAAACTTTCACAATCAGTAGAAGACACTTGCGCCTTTAACACCCAAAACACTCGCTAAAATATCCTAACTTTCCATCTACATACAACCCATTATATAGCACAAACCAAATGAAAAACCCATGCGAAGGCGACTTGAATTGCGACTGAAAGACGTCCTGTAGATGTAAATTTCCCCGATTTCCTTCATTTCAGCCAGTATTTGATTAATGTCGCATCGAGTTTGCTCAGCACTTGACTCGCTAATAAATCAGTAAAGTTTCAATATTATAAAAGGCAGTCGCAAAAATTCTTAATTGGTGTCAATAAAGTTTTCCACGAGGCAAAACTGTGCCTCGCAACGTAAACGTGAAACTCCAGCAACTTTATAAAGGCTCCGATTATTTATAATGGTGTGCGCATAGAAATCAATTTAAAAACTGCTTTGTGAAAATTTTAATTAGAAACCATTGAACAGCATGAAATCCATTTGCGCGCAGTTCAACTTCAATAAATTGAACTTTGAAGGTGACTGCAGCAGGTTGCATAATGGGTTTTAGAACGGGTAAAATGCTTCCAGATTTCCCCCTCAGAGAGTTTCGGGAGAATGTCTACAATGAGCGATTATGAGCGCATCCGACTGGTCATCCTGGGTGGACAGGGAGTTGGAAAAAGCTGCATCATCAAGCGCTTCCTCTTCAACACCTACTGCAATAAGTACCGGAGCACTGTAGAGGATCTCTACAATAAGGAGTACGATCTGGGGCACATGACTCTAAAAGTGGACATTCTTGATACAGCTGGTAGAAGCTACACGATGTTCAGTTGATCACAGCTACCAACGGGTTCTACGGGTTCCAGGTGACATGCAATTTCCAGCGATGCGACGTCTCTGCATAGCTACAGCTCACGCTTTCCTTTTGGTCTACTCTGTCGCTTCTGTCCCATCCTTCGACTGTGTCAAGCAGTGCTTTGAGGAAATCCGGGAAAACCGCAACGATTACCAGGACATTCCGATTGTTGTGGCCGGTAATAAGCTGGATCTTACCACCAGTCAGCGGGAAATTACCATTGAGGATGTTTCCGAGTGGGTTTATTGCGAACTACCCAAGCTAAGGTAAGAGGTTTTTTAATTCCTATTTTGGGGAGAAGTGATTTTTCTGGAATATTCTGGAATGGAATCTCAGCTTTTTTGCGAAACTTTTTAGCTTTGTTTGTTGTGCAGGTTGGCTAAACCCCTTGGGGCTGTCACTGATTTCGCCCTCTACATAGGTAGTCGGTGGCAATGTTTCAAAATTATCCGATTAACGGTTTTTCCAAAATGGTCAAAAAGGGGTTTTGCAAATATCCTGGATATCTTCGATAAGGGCGGATCCAGGGGGGGGGGTCATGACCATTCAATTCTCCCCCCATTCGATTCTCTATCTAACGATGTCAAAACGAATTCTCTGGCTCAAATGGTTCTTGAGTAACTTCGAAAAAAGCAGCGTCTTGTTCAAGTGGATTTTGCAACTCAAAACTTCTTGAATTCAAGCATTTTTTGAGAAAACTGCCAACATTTGCTTATCGATGGCTCACTTTCTAAAAAGGCCATTTATTTATCTCTAGAATGATGTACAAATCAGCGTTCTTGCTCATTTTGCCTCAGAGAAATGAGCAAAAACGGGACTGAAAACATGAAATTTTGGCATAATCTTGCACCTAAGTGTCTGATATTCAAATTTCGCTTTCTGGGTCAAAACTACTCAAATTTCCTCAATCACGTTGTTACGACTGAATCGACTTTTCAATTCTCTATCCAACGATGCCAAAACGAATTCTGTGGCTCAAATGGTTCTTGAAAAACTTCTAAAAAAGCAGCGTCATGTTCAAGTGGATTTTGCAACTCAAAAAAAAACCACGCAAATTGAAAACTTCTTGAATTCAAGCATTTTTTGAGAAAACTGCCAAGATTTGCTTATCGATGGCTCACTTTCTAAAAAGGCCATTTATTTCTCTCTAGAATGATGTACAAATGAGCGGTCTTGCTCATTTTGCCTCCGAGAAATTAGCAAAAACGGGACGAAAAACATTGAATTTTGGCATAATCTTGAACCTAAGTGTTTGATGTTCAAATTTCGCTTTCTGGGTCAAAACTACTCGAATTTCCTCACTCACGTTGCTACTACTGAATCGACTTTTCAATTCTCTATCCAACGATGCCAAAGCGAATTCTGTGGCTCTCGGGCCAAGGATCATGTTTTTAAAACGTTTATTAATGAATTAAATAGTCGAAACGTAAAGGGCGAGAAATTTAGAACCAATTGAGTGCAAACATCCCCCTATCTTTAGCGCCGAGTACAAAAAAATCAAGCATTTGTGGACTGTTGTTGGCATACGGAGAAAGTCCCATTTTTGCCCGGAGAATGTGCACTAAAATTCCTTATTCCAGGCGCAAATTTTCTATACATTCTAGTTCTCCATGCCAAATTCATTAAAAATCATCCAAACTGGCTGCTGTGGGTACAGATTCAGAAATCGCATGCTTAATTATGCGTCTGGAGACGGTGAGGCGATTACGCTTTCTAATGATTTAACAAAGGAAGCTCTTTAAAAACCGACGACGGGCAAAAAATCGAAAATTTCGTCAAAAATTTAATCAATTTTGCTTCTAACTTTTAAGAGGTTAGGAATTTCGGGTGAGAAGGAACAAGTAAAAGAGAGCTCTTGAAAAGCTCTATCGAAATGGAATGTATGACTAGTCTGGTATCTTCAACGGTTAACGAGTTATGTATGAAAATATTCGTAGGTTTGCTTCATTTTGCTTCTATCCTTTCAGAGGTTAAAATTTTTGGATTACTTGAAGTAAGCAAAAGCTAGTTTTAAGAACGTTCTATTGATGGTCCGTTTTTTCGGAAAATATGAGTCGCTCGCAAACGGAGCGTTTCATATTTTTCAAAAATTCCTTTAGCAAAATGGAATTAGCTGGCGAGTTGATGTTTACGCCATTTATACGGGAAATTGTTGTCACTGTATAACCGATTCAAAGCGCCTTCTAAAAGTGACCTTTAACCATGTAATACACTTACTTACTATCTACTAATAAAAACGGGTTTTTCTTTAATTATTTATAGAATCAAAATTACCAAGTGCATGCCAAGGCTTAAAGCAGCAACAACGCTACACATAAAAACTGATGATGGTGGAAAAATACACCGAAACGTATTTTGATTGATAAATAGAGACAATAAATGACTGAAACCCAGGAATTAATTTTGATTTGGAATTGAAACACAGTCAGGAAAGTATATACAATTATTTTGTAGAAGCGTATTAATTGGACACCCTGTATATACTTAGGGCGAAGAGTAGTTGACAGCTACAACGAAAAAACATCAGGCGTCTTTGAGTGGCTCACCCTGTATATGTAGCGAACTCAACCGATCTTTGCTGTTTGATTTGCAGCCTCCATACGAAGAAATTCTCCTAAAAGCTTTTGAATTTTTCCTGATTTCATGGCTGCCTTTTTCTGCGCCGAGTGTGTCGTGCCTGACTTGATTAATTAAACACAGTTAGTCATTTTTTAAGGCGTGTTTTATATGCGAAGCGATCGGATTAATTTATTCAATCAATAATTCATGATTGATTGCAGAAAAACAACTGAACAACGATAGGGAATTTTTGCGACATTCGTTTGCTAGTCGTCAACATTTTTTATTTAGCAGTTTATCTTGGGAACAATTATTTTCAATCGAAAATTAACTGGCTGAGTGCGGTCCTGTACATTGTTGATGTTTACTCTAACCTCTAATAATAAACTGTGATTGGGGCTGTTTTATTGTCATCAGCTCTACTAATAAAGCACTAGAGCCTTAAATACAGCTGAATAAATACGCAGACCTTCAATAAAATAGCTATAAAGGCCCGATTGTCCTTAAAAAAGACCTCCTTGACAGCCGCAGGAAAATTGTCTACCCAGCTAGCAGTTTTACTCAGTTCTGTCAATTTTCCCGAGGAAAATCGCCATGTTGACAACGTTCGGTGCTTTCCACAAAAAGTCTTGTTTCTCGTGGAATAAATGGGCATGAAATTTCGGCGGTTTTCAGTCTGGCAAGGTGAGTTTTAGATGGATTTTCCATTAGCCCCTAAACGGTGTGGTTGGTGGTTTGCACTCCATTATCGAAAAATCTGAAACAATCTGCACTTTTGCTGCATCGAGGTTATTCACCTTTTGAACTAGTCGACTATTTATTCAAAGGCCGGGCCAATTATTTGTAATCCTTAGCATAGATAGAACCATAAGTCTGATGATGTTTCGAGCTGATTTAGTGATTGTGTGAAAACAGCGTTTTCAGAATGACCTCCGAAGTGATGGAAAATGACAACAAAACCCTGGACTCAGGTAGTATTTAGTAAAGCTCCAGAGCAATTGATTAATGATGTGGTTTCCAGCCTTAACCGATCTGTTTGTGAACTTGCAAAAATCCTCAGCCCTTCTGAGCACTGAGGAAGAGCAGACCTTCCTTAATGGGCTGTTGCAATCGAAAGAACTGAACGCCCTGGTGAACATCCACAGCAAAATCCTCAGCAATGTCGAGCGCAAAAGGTGCCTTTTCACGTGTGTTACTGAACGAGTCAAAAAATCTAGTTGTTTCATATGGCAGGTTCTTTCCTGTTCCGGCTTTGTCTGATGGGATGCAAGTGCTTGCTGATGTCCTCGAGTTGATCTATCAGCAGCCACGTAGAAGCAGCGACTGTCAAGAGTTGTTCCTGATGCTTCAGAAGCCGCATCTCCAGGTGGGGATGCTCAGACACCACTGAGACAGTTGCCTAATGTTTTTCCCATAGGGATTGCTGTGTGCGCACGATGCAATCGCTCAGAAGGACTATTATCCGCGTTTGCCCGATATTCCTGTGGAGGATGACGAAGAGGAGCAAACCATCAAAGTCGTGCAGTTAGTGAAGAGCAATGAACCATTGGTAAGGGTCGTGGACACTTCCTGATGTCGCTTAAATTTGACTTTGTAACTTCAAGATTACCTTGATCTCTTGCTGCTTAAGCCCCGTTTTTTATCTTTGACAAAAAATGGTCATTTATGGCAAATTTTTGTTTTTTACCAAGACTGGTACGCAAAGCGCTGAACCGATCGTCGTAAGTATTTCACATCGAAACGTGAGCCAACTACTTAGGTTCTTTCTGGCATACTTTTGTTTCATAGCTTTAGTTAATTAACGTATTGGTTTCTAGCCCCGTTCAGAAGGGCATTTCACTTTAGTAGTTCGATCCAACGAAGTAGAACTAGCTTGGTTCCCAAAGCAGGTCAACTATCTTCTGCATTCACGCCAAATACAATCAGAGTTTATCTACATTCCTGCTTGTACTGATACCTTGTAGTTCATTTTGAAGATTGTACATAAACCAGTTTAATCCTTGCACTTGAAATGGAAGCGCCAACACATTTTATTAAGCCGAAAGTTCTCTTCTGATGTAAGCAAGTACAGATTCAACACAAATTTCAGATTCATCCGCTGAGTTTAGCCTGAAAATAACACTTTCGAAACAGATTTTTAGCTCGACATTCTGAAAATTCTGCAGCAACGACATAAATTCTCCTGAAATGTTGTCTAGGATATCAAAACTTTCGGCTTTATACCAAGATAGGATTAGCTTAAATATTATATCCTGAACCAAGTGTAACTTTTGACCACTGGCTTCCTGCTTCTATGAGCTCAACCAATGTGTTTTATCTAAACTACAGGAAACATCTACTGGCTCAAATAATCAGGTCTAATTTGTAAAAAAAAAATTGTGCAAACTGTCCCATTTCGATCCGCGATAAGGATTTTGGCGCTTCCTGTTGGCTTCTTTCACGTTTTCTTTGCACCCATGCTCATTTCTCCATTAAACTTTTGCAAATTGTATATTTACCCCTCTAGAGCCTTTGACTTTATACAGTTAGTTGTCTCGATTTGTAGTTTGTTTCTGCCCACTTAGGTCTTGGCTTTTTTACAACAATTTCCTCCACTGTCTGTATTTTAAACGCTGTTTTTGCTTCTGCAGGGCGCCACGATCAAAACTGATGAACTAACAGGGAAAATCGTGATCGCCAGAGTGATGCATGGAGGCGCCGCAGATCGATCAGGATTGATTCATGTAGGAGATGAAGTGGTCGAGGTGAATGCCATTAGTGTGGAAGGCAAAGAACCCAACGACGTTCTGGACATTTTGGTGAGTGAGTTTTTTGAGCAAACTTAACGACAACAGGAGGGTTCTGCCAATTCTAGCAAAGTTCCGAAGGAACCATTACCTTCAAGTTGGTGCCTGCTGAGTGTACCATGAACGTGAGGGAAAGCAAAGTGAGAGTAAGGGCGCATTTTGACTACGACAGTTCCACAGACCCTTACATACCGTGCAAGGAAGCCGGCCTGGACTTTAAAAAAGGCGATGTGCTTCACATCGTCTGCCAGGACGATCAATATTGGTAATTCGCATAAAAAGCGCACTTAAAGCATGGTATTTAATACGTTTTCTAGGTGGCAAGCTCGGAAAGAGGGCGATAAGCATATGCGGGCCGGGCTTATTCCGAGCAGGGCCTTACAAGAGAAGCGAATCGTGCATGATAGAGGAATGAAAAAGGACGAGGATGAAGGTGAGGCTTCAAGAACGTATTACTGTTCTTTGCTTGCAACTGCAGATTTAAATAGCATGAAGGCAACAGTAGATAACCGGTTATTATGAAGAAAGCGTTCGGGCCAAGGATCATGTTTTTAAAACGTTTATTAATGAATTAAATAGTCGAAACGTAAAGGGCGAGAAATTTAGAACCAATTGAGTGCAAACATCCCCCTATCTTTAGCGCCGAGTACAAAAAAATCAAGCATTTGTGGACTGTTGTTGGCATACGGAGAAAGTCCCATTTTTGCCCGGAGAATGTGCACTAAAATTCCTTATTCCAGGCGCAAATTTTCTATACATTCTAGTTCTCCATGCCAAATTCATTAAAAATCATCCAAACTGGCTGCTGTGGGTACAGATTCAGAAATCGCATGCTTAATTATGCGTCTGGAGACGGTGAGGCGATTACGCTTTCTAATGATTTAACAAAGGAAGCTCTTTAAAAACCGACGACGGGCAAAAAATCGGCTGGAACTGAAAAAAGCGGGCAACCTTGTAAAACAGATATACATTAGGATCTAGACGCATTATTATTGCAAAAAAATTGTTATTTCGATCATTTGAACGATCGTTTGCAGAGGATTAGTTAATTATTCCGTTAAAAAACCTGGTCTGAAGCTGTAAGCCGCACCCGGACGTCCTTGCCTGGAGATTTGATTCGTTTTGTCGAGTCTAGAACTTAGCAAATCAACATATTTTGGCACAAATAATCGAAAATTTCATTTAACCCACGCTTTACTGAGCTTGCGCTTGAAATGGGGACACTTTGCATCAACCAAGTGTACACTAAAGGACACCAACTTACCATTGTATCATTCTTTCGCCAGTTTCAAAAGCTTGGATCATGAATACTAATGCTAAAAACTAACAAGTCAATAAAAACAGAAAATCTGCATGCAAAGAACTAACATTAACCGAATCCGCCGAATGCGTAGGACTATGTTTCGTTCCAGTAGTGGCTGAAGAGGGCTTAAGCTGTAGTCCTGAACCTGTTCGGTGTCTGTTAGGGGCCGACAACAAAAATAAAACTAAAAAAATAATTTACGATACAGCGGAGAATGACGACTTTGATCGCGAATTGATCGCCACTTATGAAGAAGTCGCGAAACTGTACCCCAGACCGAGTGTCTTTAGGCCTATTGTATTGATTGGACCCCCTGGAGTTGGACGAAATGAGCTGAAACGTCGTCTAATCGACACTGATCCCGTAAAGTTCCAAACGCCCACGCCCTGTAAGAGTTTTTGGATTGCTTCGTCTCATCGTATAGTTTATTAATTATTTACTTACAGTTACCAGCAGGAGTATGAAACCTGGTGAAGTTGACGGCAAAGAGTATTTCTTTGTTACGCGGCAGCAAATGGAGCGCGATATTGACGAAGGGAAATTTATCGAATTTGGAGAATACAAGGGCAATTTGTATGGTAGGAGGGTTAATTATATCTTCAGAGTTCATCGCAAATGCGGGTTTTAAAATATTTTCAGGAACCAGCACTTCGAGCGTCGAGGCAATAGTCCACGCAGGCCTGGTGTGCATTCTGAACCCGCATTACCAAGCGCTGAAGATGCTCAGAACTCCACTTCTGAAGCCTTACATTATATACATAAGCCCGCCTAGTTTGGACGTTCTGAAGCAGACCAGAATGGCCCATCACGCGCGCAGTACCTTCGATGTTAATAACTCCAGAGGATTTACGGTGACTATCACATTTATCACTCAAAAACAGCAGGATTAGGCAAGTGTTTTTTGCAGGAGGATGAGTTTCAGGACATGATTCGACACTCCGAACGAATAAAGTTCCTGTACGATCACTTCTTCGATGAAACTATCGTAAACGCCGATCTGGCGGATGCTTTTAGCAAATTGCTAGCCGCAGTTAATCGAGTGGAAAGCGAACCTTTGTGGGTTCCCGCATCGTGGGTGCAGTAAAAGCGAGAAAACTGGCATTTATGTAGAAAAAGTCCCATAGTTTTGTGATTGAATTCCTTCTAGGTCTTAGCGAGCATCATTAATTAAAGCAAAAGGCATGATTCTCAGTGTAAATACGGTTTAGCTGTTGGAAATCTTCGAAGCTTAACCAAATTTTGATGAAGGCGTTAACAAAGTTTCTAGTCATCCAGTTTATCGGAAAGTAAATCACTGCCATTTATAAGTAGAGCATGTTTTGCTGGTTTTGTTACATTTTCGGCAATTGTAACACTTCAATTAGCTTTGATTCACTTAGATTAGGGAAAACGTACGATAATAACAACATTTTTTCCGCTCAGAAAGTTACTTTTGTTCATTTGAACTTGCTATAGAAGCCTTGTAGGAACGTATATTTATCGCTATTTTAGATATTTTTTTCATTAGTGTTTTATGGAACAAATCACGCCAGTTCACGTGTGTGTACACTTTGCTGGTTATGCCTGTTACATTGTTGTAATGAATTTTTGTATACCTACTACCTTTGTTAATACATAAATAAAATTGTTTAATTTTATTTTTTTTGTGTTTTATTTTGTTCAATATCCAATTGGGGGGTGCATCCAAGCAGGGTGAGCTAGAGTTTTAAATCAACGATCAATATTTTCCTAGAAAAACTATGAAAAAGTGGCTAAACAGAAAAAACCTAAACAATTCGTAAAATGCCGCTCGGATTTGACCCGCGGGGTTGAAAAAAAGGGCGGTATTAAAATCCAGGTCATTAATTGATACGCAAATGAGTGATTTGGGTAAAACAACGCATTCTCCGGCATCATCCTATGGGCGCACAGAGCGGCGGTTGCCAAGAGTTTCCAGCGGCTCTGCGGCAGAATTTCCAACAGTAGTTGTGCATTTTCCGAGCCATTCGCACGCCTTTACAATTTTCCAGCACTCGCGCTCTCTTCTTTCGCTTCGTTTTCTCGCAATCCTCCTCTAAGCTTCGCATTATTCCAACAAAAATCGCTTTTCCCCGACTCTATGCATGCTCTAACACCCAGGTGAACGTTCTAGTGAGCGCCTATTCGTGAAACCGTTTGGTAAGCATTGGGGCCTAAATGGCAACTCAAGGTGAAAGTCAGTCCTTTTACCCATTTTATATGCTTATTATGTATGTTAGTCGGCGCGCTACTAATTAGGAATGTATGGAAATTAGGCCCTTTTTAGGGAAACGGCTTTGATTGCGAATTAGGCTCTTTCAAGGGAGACTCGTCAGGTCTTCGTCATCAAAATGATGTTGCTGATGTTAAAAACTCTCGGAGTTCTAACCTAATTTCGTTCTTTTAAACAGTCTTAGCTTCTAAGCAGATTAAAATGCTCCAAAAGTCCAATCTAGTAACATCCAGATATAAATTTTTGAAAAATTATAAACTCCGACGGTTTAGAACATAAAAAAATATAAAAAATGGCGCCATATGTCACTCCAAATGGGACACCCTGTACATTAAAACCCCACTAGATGGTTGTCTTCAGTTGCGATTTGAAACACTTTTCTTCTAAGCTTTCAATATGATTTTAAAGTGAAAAGTAGTAAAACCAGCAGGCGATGCGAACATTAATAGGATTTCGAGCATAAATAATCGGCAAATCATGTTGGTTTTCACATGGGCAGATCCACAAGTGAATCATGTTCAGGTGGCTGGTTTTGCCTACACTGAACCCGAATAGGGACAATGCACCAAACACAATGCTCTTATTTCCATCGAATTGACTGAACTTGGCTACTTTTTCATTTTGGGTTTGCCAACTACGCTTCGAATGTTTTAAAGGGGAATTTTAATTTTCAGACTATGCAGGAAAAGAGCCTTAAGTAGCTCGTTTTGGCCTTTACAGTGGCTTTTTCCAACTAAAGTTGCCTGGATGTAAAAGCTCCGCTTGCTTGCCTCTTTAACAGTTAATATTCTTCGGAAATAACAGTATATAAGGCATTTTTTCAATATTAATATGTGTATAGACGATTACTCAGCAAACCTCTTTGTGGTAGATTTTACAAAGAAAATCGCTGGGTTTCACCCAATTGGCCCTTCTTCACAAAAAAGTCCAAAAGAAACTGTCTGGATGAATAATGTTGTTTTTAAACCAAATTGTTTTTTTCATACTCTCCAGGGCTGAAGGCCAGCGAGTTTTAGCAGCTTGGATAATTTACCTTAACTCAATGGATATGAAAGTGAGACTTTTTGTTAATTATTTTATATTTAAGTCGGGGACTTGTGTAAATAGGGGGCGTTGCTGGTTTTGGTCTACTTGCTGCTTACCAAAAGCGACTGGATGCATTGGCTGCTTTTACTGTCTTTCATCCTTAACAGCAATATTTTTTATATAACAGCAAAAAAAAAACAAAACCTACACTGTTGAAATAACGAAAACAATCAAATGGATATTGACGATAAATTGCTGAAAAATTCTGTTTAGGACATCGGGCGGACGAATCATTGAGATAATAAATACTGCAGAATTAAACCATCAATAACCGTTTATGAATACATTCGCTTTGCCGTTTCGTGCGTAAGTAATAATAATTCAATAAATCCCGCTGCCTGTTTAGTTCCAGTTGGGCAGCTTTGGGAAGAATTATGTTCAGGTGGCCAATCGCATTTGGATTCTGCAAGCTTGCAAACACTAATATTCTGTACTAAAATTGGTTTTTAATTGTTGGCTTTTTTGCGGATTCATTTAAGATTTTTAGGCCAACGGCGTTAAGCTGGCGATTTCTGCATCCATTATTATCGTTATCTGTGGCGTCTCTGACGTCACATATATTATATTCATGCTCGGCTGTTCGCAAAGACATGACAAGTTGGGCGTCGTAGACTGACAGCAAAACGTCAGAAAATTCCCGATTTGAAAATCGCGTTTTTTTGCAAAATCTCTCACTTTGGATCGCAAAAACACGATAAGAAGGTAACTGAGCGCTTCCGATTTCCGAAAATCATCAACCTCCCGCACAAAAATGGCACAATCCTGCCAAAATTCGAAAGTTTTCCAAGCGAATTTGCCGATAGTTTTCCCTCATCGCCACTAGACATTTGACTAACTTGACAAACTGACAGTTGAATTGACTTTTCCTCATGTTGATGTTCGCCTCAAACTACCTCATTTTTGGAGTCTGAAGCTCCAGCTTGAATTGGGGCAGGAGAACGAGGAAAATTGATCGTGAAGTCTCATTAAGATAAAATTATCCTTTCTATTAATTTTCGAGCGCAACATCTTTTATGCATCCGAAGTCATTGTCGCTCGAAACGCTTAAGCTGAGGCTTAAAATCGATTTCTAATTTCCCTAAGTGCTCGAAAGACCAGCTCAGTTATGCACGAATGCATTTCACCAGTGTATATGGTAAACTGCTTGAGCGAGACAAGCGAACAATCGTTCAGGAAACGTTTCTCTAGTTGCAAATATTCAAGTACACTTTTCAAAATCATGGTCTTTTGTGCAGATTTGCTAAATTTATGTAGATCTCAACCTGAGAATGAGGCGTTTTTACGATGTAAAAGCATATTCCAAGCATAAAATGCCAATTATATCTACATTTCGCTATGCCTACATCTAACTTTTTAAATGTTAAAAGTTCGCGGTTTGCTAAAATTCGACAATTTCGCTTCTATCTTTAAGAGACTGGCAATTTTGTTCCAACTCCAATAGCTTAAATGTAGCTCTTAAAAAGCTCTATAAAATGGGTTATTATGATTTATCAGATATTTTCTACGGTTTTCCGGATATGGGCTGTTTAAAACATAGGCTTTCTGATTTTCGCTTCCTTCTATATCTCTAGATATCTAACTTCCAAGTTAGAGCAAGTAGCAACTTCAAACCTTTATATTACATAGAAGATACGTGTACCTTAAATTCCTGACAATTTCATAGAAATCGCAGTAAATCCTGAGTTTTGTCGAGCTCGTAAATGTTGGGCTCGAAATGAACGATTTCGCACAACTGCACCATCGGCTTTAAAAATTCGTAACTTCGAAACAAGAACAAGTGGCGAGATGCAAGTTCCAATAACTGTTGACGGCACAAGAGGCTAAAACTCCTAAGAAGTTGGTTGAAATCGCGCAAAATCCTAATTTTTGTCAACTTGGAAAATTTTGAGCTTAAAATGACCGATTTCATACCACTACACCAACTGCTTTAGAACGACGAATCTTCTAAACCAGGCCAGGCAGCCACTTGAAACTTTCTTGAATTGTAGAAAAACTGTAGACCTGAAAGTCGGAGAAAGTTCAATTAAATCTTACCAAATCGTGATTGTTTTCCGACTTGTTATTGTTGGGCTTAAAATGAGCGCGTTTACCCAACTGCACCATCTACTTTAAAAATTCATAACTTCCAAGCCAGCGCAAGCACCAACTTGAAACTTTTGCAGCCTATCGACCTCACTTCAGCCTACAGGCCTTGAAAAGGCCAAAAAATCTCACCGAATGCTGACTTTTAACGACTTGGTAAATTATGAGCTGAAAAAGAACGTTTTCATTAAGCTGCACAAACCGATTTAGAAATTCCCTAGTTTTAACGTAGAAGAGATTGCAAGTTGAAACTGCCACAGTCTGTATAAAACATTTGAAACTGAAACTTTTCTAAAGTTTATTGAAATCGCTTGGCATCCTGATTTTGGTCTCCTTGCTAATTGTTGGGCTCAAAATGAACGTTTTCGTACAGTTCTATCATCTGTTTAAAAATGTGTAACTTCCAATCTAGATCAAGTAGCAAGTTCAAACTTTGGCAGATTATAGAAAACAGTTGAGCATAAAGCTTTGGAAAATTTCAGAAAAATTGCCCCAAATTCTGACTTTTGTCGATTAGGTAAATGTTGGGCTGGAAATACGCGTTTTCAAACAACTGAACCGTCGGCTTTAAAAATTCCTAACTTCCAACCAGGACGAAGTAGCAACTTCACACTTTCACATTCAGTAGAAGACACTTGGACCTTAAAGACCTGATAATGGTATAGAAATCGGGCTAAATCTTGATTTTTGCGGAGATGGGAAATGTGCGTTTTCAAACAACTGCACCATTAGCTTTGAAAGTTCCTAACAACTCAATGCAGAAGAAATGGCCACTTCAAACTTTCACAATCAGTAGAAGACACTTGCGCCTTTAACACCCAAAACACTCGCTAAAATATCCTAACTTTCCATCTACATACAACCCATTATATAGCACAAACCAAATGAAAAACCCATGCGAAGGCGACTTGAATTGCGACTGAAAGACGTCCTGTAGATGTAAATTTCCCCGATTTCCTTCATTTCAGCCAGTATTTGATTAATGTCGCATCGAGTTTGCTCAGCACTTGACTCGCTAATAAATCAGTAAAGTTTCAATATTATAAAAGGCAGTCGCAAAAATTCTTAATTGGTGTCAATAAAGTTTTCCACGAGGCAAAACTGTGCCTCGCAACGTAAACGTGAAACTCCAGCAACTTTATAAAGGCTCCGATTATTTATAATGGTGTGCGCATAGAAATCAATTTAAAAACTGCTTTGTGAAAATTTTAATTAGAAACCATTGAACAGCATGAAATCCATTTGCGCGCAGTTCAACTTCAATAAATTGAACTTTGAAGGTGACTGCAGCAGGTTGCATAATGGGTTTTAGAACGGGTAAAATGCTTCCAGATTTCCCCCTCAGAGAGTTTCGGGAGAATGTCTACAATGAGCGATTATGAGCGCATCCGACTGGTCATCCTGGGTGGACAGGGAGTTGGAAAAAGCTGCATCATCAAGCGCTTCCTCTTCAACACCTACTGCAATAAGTACCGGAGCACTGTAGAGGATCTCTACAATAAGGAGTACGATCTGGGGCACATGACTCTAAAAGTGGACATTCTTGATACAGCTGGTAGAAGCTACACGATGTTCAGTTGATCACAGCTACCAACGGGTTCTACGGGTTCCAGGTGACATGCAATTTCCAGCGATGCGACGTCTCTGCATAGCTACAGCTCACGCTTTCCTTTTGGTCTACTCTGTCGCTTCTGTCCCATCCTTCGACTGTGTCAAGCAGTGCTTTGAGGAAATCCGGGAAAACCGCAACGATTACCAGGACATTCCGATTGTTGTGGCCGGTAATAAGCTGGATCTTACCACCAGTCAGCGGGAAATTACCATTGAGGATGTTTCCGAGTGGGTTTATTGCGAACTACCCAAGCTAAGGTAAGAGGTTTTTTAATTCCTATTTTGGGGAGAAGTGATTTTTCTGGAATATTCTGGAATGGAATCTCAGCTTTTTTGCGAAACTTTTTAGCTTTGTTTGTTGTGCAGGTTGGCTAAACCCCTTGGGGCTGTCACTGATTTCGCCCTCTACATAGGTAGTCGGTGGCAATGTTTCAAAATTATCCGATTAACGGTTTTTCCAAAATGGTCAAAAAGGGGTTTTGCAAATATCCTGGATATCTTCGATAAGGGCGGATCCAGGGGGGGGGGTCATGACCATTCAATTCTCCCCCCATTCGATTCTCTATCTAACGATGTCAAAACGAATTCTCTGGCTCAAATGGTTCTTGAGTAACTTCGAAAAAAGCAGCGTCTTGTTCAAGTGGATTTTGCAACTCAAAACTTCTTGAATTCAAGCATTTTTTGAGAAAACTGCCAACATTTGCTTATCGATGGCTCACTTTCTAAAAAGGCCATTTATTTATCTCTAGAATGATGTACAAATCAGCGTTCTTGCTCATTTTGCCTCAGAGAAATGAGCAAAAACGGGACTGAAAACATGAAATTTTGGCATAATCTTGCACCTAAGTGTCTGATATTCAAATTTCGCTTTCTGGGTCAAAACTACTCAAATTTCCTCAATCACGTTGTTACGACTGAATCGACTTTTCAATTCTCTATCCAACGATGCCAAAACGAATTCTGTGGCTCAAATGGTTCTTGAAAAACTTCTAAAAAAGCAGCGTCATGTTCAAGTGGATTTTGCAACTCAAAAAAAAACCACGCAAATTGAAAACTTCTTGAATTCAAGCATTTTTTGAGAAAACTGCCAAGATTTGCTTATCGATGGCTCACTTTCTAAAAAGGCCATTTATTTCTCTCTAGAATGATGTACAAATGAGCGGTCTTGCTCATTTTGCCTCCGAGAAATTAGCAAAAACGGGACGAAAAACATTGAATTTTGGCATAATCTTGAACCTAAGTGTTTGATGTTCAAATTTCGCTTTCTGGGTCAAAACTACTCGAATTTCCTCACTCACGTTGCTACTACTGAATCGACTTTTCAATTCTCTATCCAACGATGCCAAAGCGAATTCTGTGGCTC